GTCTGGAACCAGCTTCCAAGTGAGGTGGTGCAGGCTCCCACCCTGGGGGTTTTTAAGAAGAGGTTGGATGACCACCTTACTGGGGTCGTTTGACCCCAGTGCTCTTCCTGCCATGGCAGGGGGTTGGACTAGATGATCTGCTCAGGTCCCTTCCGACCCTAGAAACTATGAAACTATGAATTAGCGCTCTCCAGCAGCCTCTGTGTCATGTGTATTCAGTGTCCCCACATTTCAAATGTTCAAAACATTTGTGAAGAAAATGAAAGGGATAGGGCACAGGGAGAAATTCCATTTTAAGGCCAACTATTCCAAATTTTGGAGACTGCTTTACGTTGTCTTTACAGCAAACTGCTTTTTTGACAGAAAAATCTGTTAACACTTTCCTGCTTACTGAAGCACAGGATGCTGAATACATGTGACACTGCAGACAGTTTAATTAGTGCCCTTCCTCCCCTTCCATACACACATGTATAGATACCCAATGTTACTGTTTCATTTACACTTGGATCATGTTTTTGTGCCTTTGCCAACTCCACCTTTATCTATCCCCATACAGCCTGACAAACTGTCTAACCAAACTTGGCTCTATACTTTTCAGCAGCCCATGTTCTATTTTCTTAATCTGTAATTTAGTCAGGGCATGCAATTTTGTAAACTTTTTTTTTTTTACTTTTACTTTTTTGAGGGCACAGTCCTCCAGGAATTAAATTCCTGTTTTACCTCTGAGTTGCTTTTCCTGTAATATTTAGGAAAGACTCTGGGTATGGACAAATGTATGCTTGTAACAGCTTCTAAAGTGGGGAAGGAGATGTTGCTCAGGAGTATGCAGCAGCTACTATATCTGCATGGGACTTACAGTAATACATATTGGATAAATCACCCTAGCTTTGACTCTGGATAACTAGCCAAACTCTGACTGTATCTTCTTTCGACTGGTACAGCAAACCAGCTGTTGGTATCCAGGGTGAAATCTCCCTCCCCACTTGAAGCTGTTCCAGTTGTATTTTTGTCTATACCCTTTCTCTGTGCCTCCTCAGAGGCTGGAGGTGATTACTAATTGTCTCAAACATCAGGACTCTGGAACACAAACACGTTCTCCAAATCCAAGACTTGTGGATAAACAAGTGTTTCTGATTTGACAATCGTATTATCTGAATAGGGTTATTTGGGTGGGGGGTGTTAAACAGGTGAATGTTTAACATATCCGACAAGATGCTTGAATCAGTGTTAGCATAAGTAGCAACAATTAGCAAAAAGAATTATCGACTTTTGCACACCCAGGACATTTTTAGAAGTGACAGTAGAAGCATCCTTTTCCTAGCCTGTTGAGCTCATTTACTAGGGGATTAAAACATTCCTTTCTTTTCAGGATTTATAAATCCAGTCTTGCCAGTTCTCAAGATTTTCGTGTAAATCTTAAGATAAACACCTTTTAACCTTAAAGCCCCAGCTGCTGAAAGACGTATTTCAGTTTAAAAAAAACAAAACAACATATCTATCCTTTTGGTTAGGAGGAAAAGCAAGAATGTGTGATATTTGCATTTACAACTATCACATGGCAAAAAAGTGATGTGAAGTCTCTCTCTCATATATATTTCTAGACCATGGGAATAAAAATATTAGCCTAAAACTAAGAATGTTTCCTCCTCCTACTCTGCTTCCTGATGAAGCCATAGACAAAACCACAGTGGTGCTATTCAGAGCTATGCTTTTATTTTGTCCAAGTATCTCTGTCCCTGCCACATTTAAAGATAGCAGCAGCTACTATGACTACTGATTTAGATAAAGAACAGCAGCACATAAGGTATCATAATATATTTCAAGAGCAGGAGTAAAAAAAACAAACAAACTCATTCAATAATGGCTATGTGTTTCCCATTCTGACACAATTTTCTACTGGCTTGACTAAGTAGTATCATGACCAGTATTTTTTTTTAAATCAATGCACATTTAATACTTACTTAATTGAGGCCCTCAGGAGAAAAAGCAAATTACAGAGGAAGTAAAATCCCTCCCAAGCAACAAGTATGTAATTTTTCAGTAGTATTATGTGGATGCCTGTATAATCTGACAGTGAACTGATAAGCAGCCTGTAATTTGATTAATCCTATGCAACTGCTGGTGTCTAAATTAAACACGATTTGGCATACATCTCTAAGAGCAGCAGCTTCTATTCTATGCAAAAAGAAAGAAACAAACAAAAACACCTGGTGTGCGTCCCTTGAACTAAATCAACTCCTGAACATTTTGATAAAAAAAATGTTTTCCAGTATGAGCGTTCTTAAGATAACAATCTGAAAACTGTACTGTTTGCAATACTTACAAAACCATTCCCATCCTCATCAAGAAATGGATATGCCTGAAGCAATGCATTGACAACAATGTTATACTGCTGACTGTTTGGATATCTGTTTGAACAAGATGAAGAGCATATATGAATTGTTTGCATTTTTGGCACTTTGTCTTCAATCTGAAATGCATAATGTAGATATGGTCAACTGATGCAGTATTGCTGACATATTTCATATTAAATTGCATTAAAGGAAAAATTATCCTAAAAGTATCGCAGGGGGAGAACCTTTAGAATTTAAGCCAAAGTCCACTGAAGCCAAAAGTCTTTTCATTCACTTCAAAGAGCTTGGAATCAGCACTTCATCATTTAAATCTCACATAGAAAAAGGCTTAGAATCATCTGAGAAAGTTCATTTCACAGTCTGTTGACAACTCCAAAAAGAGCAAATCCAAAACAGCTGTACTTACAGTGATCCTTCCAGGTATTTTGTCATGTCTGCCTGTAAAAATTCAATAATCCTTATTCTCATGCTGTGGTCAGGGCACTTTCTTTCTGCTAATATACATTTGACATCATAAGGGAACTCAGGCAAAATGTATGAATTTGTCCACTGCAGTGTCTTATGTCTTGCAAAAACAGGCTTCATTTTTTTTCTAGAGAAAGAAAGAGAGAGAGAGAGAGAGAAAGAGAGAGAGAGAGAGAAATGAAATTAGCCAAATTTATCAGATTCTAAAATGGTTACATTTTTCCTATGTTAGAAATAGTGGGGGGAAGAGAGGGGAGGAAGCACACCACAAACCACATGCTTTTAAACAAAAGAAATCTATGACTTCTAACCACATGCTTTTAAACAAAAGAAATGGTTAGAAGTCGTTAGTCTTTTGGACTTAATCAGGTGACTTACTTTTCCTGTCTCAGTCCCTATAGTAGAAAAATAAAGCTGCATTTACAGCATGCAATAACGTCTTTGAAGATGTTAGAACACTTGCATGTTAAATCAAGTGCTAGGAAAAGACTGCCAAACATGTGATCAGTAACCAAATGTGCACAAAGTACGTTTTATGCCAGAACCTATGTGGATACTTGTTTTTAACAATCAATGTTTCACTACAATCAGGAAGTGTGAATGATATTATGTTTATGAAAAATATCAAGATGCAAAAACAAACAAATGTCTCAGAACTGCAAGAGGCAGTCTAAGTTTTAAAGATGCTAGAAGCCCTGCAAGTTCAATGGCTCTCATGAATCACTGTATGAATTTCAACTGGCATCTTGTGAGAGTGTATTGAGAGTTATGGAAATTTCCTTTTAAAATAAGATTAGCACAAGCCGTGACTGAAATTTCCTTTTAAAATAAGATTAGCGCAAACCGTGACTGAATTAACAATGACAATTATTAAGGCAATTATTTAAGAAAGGTGAAAGAGAGACTAAACCAGTGGTTCTCAACCTTCTTAGACTCAAGATGCCCCACAGAAGATGTCAGCTCTTAGTTTGCACTCCATTTTTGACTACAGAAAAATAACAGAGGAATTCTTTTGTTGCAAAGAAAGATCACAGGTCAAGATGTTGTGACACTAAGGATTCCTATTTGAAATCTCTGGGTTTATCTTGTGAATCATGTTTACACACCTAACGGTATTAACATTGTGTGGCACCACGTAGCATCCTTGGAAGAATCACTGGACTAGTCTGAGGTCTAACACAAAATATACATCTTTTCATGTCTCAAGTTCTCTCCGCAGGAGCCACTAAGCCACAGGTCTGCTGGCATTTCTATATCAACCAGAAGCATGGGAGAAACAAACAAACAAACAAGAGTCACACCTAACCAATGTAGCTATGCTAGTAAACCCCCCACTGTAGAAGCTAACAGCTTTTGTTAGCTAAGCATTTGTTCAGAGGGATGGTGAAGTGGTGAAGCTATTATGGCAGGAAAAAACCCCTTTCTATGTACTTCTCTAGGTTACAAAGCTCTGCAGGGCCTGCTGACTGGCTGCTGAGGATAGCAAGCTTCCCATTTAAGTCCACCTTTGGCATCAGCCTAAAAACCAGCCAACAATTCTGCCTGAAGGTGTGTTGTGGTAAGCCTCCCTGGATGTTGCGGTTTTCTGAATTCCAGTTTGCTCAGCTCTGCTAATACGCTCAGGCTTTGTGAACTCTGTTCAGCTTTGGCAACCTGTGACATAGACTGTGCCTCTGTAATTCCCCTGCCTGTAGCCTTCTCCTGTCCTACCCACTAAGCCAAACTGTCTATGCTCTGATCCTTAGCCTGTATCTCTTTTGGATCCAACCCTGTCACCTACAAAAGCCTCTGTGCTCTCTGAACCAGTTTTTCTAAGGCCTTGTGTAGATGAAATGAGAGGCATGTGTGCACGACACTTTAAAGTGGGTTAAATGTTTTTGCATCGCTTTAATGGTGTTGGTGTTTGCATGCTTCGGCAGTGTATTGCACAGTAATTCCAGTCGCTGTAGTAAACTTGGCAGTGTAATGCGCCTTAAATGACTATGAGGAGTTTTAGTTTTCTGCCCTACAGCTGTGGAGCGAGCCACCAGGCTCCATGTAGCTCAGGGGCTCTGCAGGAAGCTCATAGTCCACCCAAGATCTTTTCCTCCCCCCACCCCTGCAAGAGCCTGCCTCTGTGCCTAACCTGTGCAGGGGTCTGGTGTTTCCCTCCGTGGCTGTGGCGCCACCCGGGACCACTTGAGTTGGGTGCCTACAGGCAGGTGCTGCCTGTGGGGGCTGCCATTGCCATGGACTGGACTATCACCAGTCCCCAGCCCAGGGATCGCTCCACCTGCTGGCAGCTTGCCCTACCCTCACCGCCACAGGAGAGGCAGGTAAGTTCAGGTGTGTGCATGACACTGGGGTTTAAAGAGCCCTAAACTGAAGCGATGTTTTTAAAAACCTACCGCTTCAATTCAGGTTCTCCGTTTCATCTAGACATGCCCCAGGGTGATACCCTAGCTTCACCTCCAGACTAACACAGCTAATTACCTCTCCTTCCAGATCAGTTTTGCAACTGTTACTTGGTTAATGGCATCAAAGGCAAAAAATACAAGAGTGTAGGTGTGAACAAACATACCTTTTAGCCACTTCAAAAAGGAAAGGGGGAGCTCCTGTTAGGATACAGCTATTTACATGGGCCTGAGTCTATAGGGAGTGATACGAGTTAGTGAAACTGCCCTCAGTTTGACCCTGGATGAAGCAGGGTTAAAGTTGGAGCAGTTTTACTACACTTGTAGTGCTATCGATTCATGCTGATTTAGCAATTGCATCATAGCAGCTTGTATCAGTATTCACTGATAAAAGTACAATTATTACACCTGCCTGTACCCCATGAATACCAAGCGTGACAGAGGAGTAAGAATTGTATACCTAGGCTTAACCATTTTACAGAAAAAGGTATGCAATTTTTTTAATCAACCTTTTTATCTATAATTATACATGTTAATTGGAATAGAGACATCCCACATAGATGATATGGACACCTCCAAAGTTTGCCCTCCTTTTCCACCTGGTATTTATTCAAGGAGCTGTGCAGCCCATGATTTTTGATCCTTTTGCTTTTTGGTACCACCCACACTGATTCAGCTTCCTCAGTGTTTCTAATAATGGAAGTCCTAGAGTAGATGGGAAGCCAATTATCACCAGTGATTTTTAACCAGCATTAATTAATTCAGTTCAAGCTAGGTCTATTTGACATTAAGTTCAAACCATGTAGCTAGCTTGCAAACTATCACACAATAGGATGGGCAATGTTGCTACCACTGTTAGAGCCAAACCAACCTTAACAAGAAAGGTGAGAAGTTTTGGAAGTTGTCACCAGGCCCCATTAGAATTATAAACTATTTCTTTCCACTGCCTCAGCTCATTGGAACAAAGCTGGTTAGCTTGAAGTCAAACTCCTAAGTGAAAGTTGTGAGTCAATTAAGAAAACTTCCCTGGAAACCAGCATGTCTGCTTCCATGGAAACTGTTACTTCCCATCCCCTTCAAAGCTTCCCAGCACATAACAAGCACACCAAGCTCCACAGCACTGTTGAAGTCTCTCTCAACCTTGCCCCAGCCTCCACTAGAGTACATAATTAGTTTTCAATCTCTAAACAAGGTATGAAAAAAAATCTTTTAATTTCCATGAACTGTAAGGAAAGAAATATGTTAGGTTTAGGTGACCTCAAAGATGAGTGGGTAATTATAATAAATAAATCAAATAATTTTAAAATTGAATAGTTGGGTCAGCGAGAGAGAGATGCAACTCCACACTAATATCCTTCCTACATCCAGAAGCAACCATATAGAACGGTTCACTTAATTAAAACAGAGCAACATTACACCTATAGTTAAACTAATGAAATGTGTGAGACTAACTGGTTCAGAGGCATAAACTACTTTGTCAGATTTAACAGGCTGCTCTTACACATTATGTGGAGAGCTCGTAGAGACACCCACAACACTAGAAAAGTTATACCTGGTTTACAGTAGTTGTGAAGCTGCAGTAGTGCTAGTAAGTATATAAACACCAATGTCCTAGCTGTGACAGACCAAAGTGAATTTCTTCAACCACATTCATCAAAATTATCTTCATCTTGGCCTATATTCTTGCTCTTAAGCATCTTTTCGGAAGAGCAAACTCTCTGTTCACCCTTTATTCCAAACTTTTTGTTTTACACCTTTAGCCGCCTGATCCCTAACCACTACCTTCACTGCTTTCACCACTTTTACTCCAGTATTTGTTGTAATGCCGTGTGTGTACCTTGGAACAATTCTATGTGCATCAATTTTGTGTATCTTGGATTTAAAATATTTGGAGAGTCATCTTTCCTTGATTTCTTTCAGTGCTAGAGTTAGAAAAGCAACGTGTCCTGCAATATATACAGAATGCTAATCCCTAAATGGAATCAGTCAAGTCATTTGACAATTAAATTAGTATTCCCATGATTTCTGATTCCCCCCAACCCCCACCACGGTGGCTGCAACAGTGGCAACGTTGTCTCATATTTTCAGCCTTCAGTACAACATTTGTCCCCAGGCCTTCTAAACAAGGGTTAATAATTTTGGAAAATGTCTATAACTTTCCACTTGCAGTGACTAATTCTCAGCAAGAATGCAATAAGGGAACTTTATAAATAATTATAATAATTGCCTTAGTTATAAACTTTGGAGTCCAAAACAGCTTGTGCTGTAGCAGATTTCTTGGATGTAGATTCCATCACAACTTTGTGCATATTGTAGCCATTTGCTAGTCTTATTTTGTAATTTTTGTCTCCCTGTACAGAAGATACATTATGACACGACTGAACGGCACAATGTCCAACTTGACAAAAAAAGATTGTTTGTTTTAAATATTTTCATATTTGAAGAACTTTCTTAGGGATTTTATTGGATCTTCCCCATGATTAATTCTCAACTGCTGTAGTAAATTATAGCAGAAACTTATTTTTAAAAAGAAACCAAAGGAAACCATATAGCCCAATTGCGTATTCCAGAATCTAAATCAAGTAGAGTTGTGTTTTTTGCAAAGTAGCAGAAAAAAGTCTGAGAAGCAGTTCAGAAATAGATGACCATGAGCTATTACCAACCTGGGCAAGTTCATTTAACTTCAAGGATGGTGCCCTTCCTCCACCCTTCTGCACCAGAACAACTGAGGATT